CTGATGTTTTCTGCATGAATTCCAGATAAAAATGATGGAATCACTCTAATATTAAATGCACCATAATAATCAAATCACTCCTCACTGTGCCAACAAGTGACAGCTTTTGATAACAAAACAACTGTAATAGTGCCACTGATAATACCAAGAGTTCATTGGCTACTAGACAACCCTGTGACCCATTGGGTTATCCTCTGAGACAAAGGTAGTGTAGTCTGATGTGACCAGAATGAACATTACATTTTAGGCTGACCATATTTTTTTTACCCCAATGCTGGACAGTCCTGTGATCATCTAAGAAGAGTATATATCATAAATAGAAAAATAACTGTAGTGGCAAACAAACTTCAATAATAAGTCAATATTTACTTACCTAAACAGATAAACAGAATGACCATGAGCGGGCAGAAAGCAGTGGGAGTGGAAGTGACTCCTGCCGGCTTCCCCATTGACTTTGCTTGTGGGAAGTTGGCAGGGAGCGTCAGAAATCATGATCACAGGACCACAGGGATGCTGCATCAGCCACAAGTTTGTGAATAAAACTGGTCTGAACATCGTGGAAATTTCAATTCCACAGGAGTAATGGGTCCTGGATTTTTATGCATTCTTTAAGTTAGGGGATTTTAGGTACCTTGATTCAAAAATTGTTGTGGTGTGATGCACTGTCTGGGCTAACGTGAGGGTACAAACAGACAGATAAGCGCAATGAGAGTTTTAGTAGTGTATAGATAGATGTTTGAGAGAGAACAAATTCTGTGTTTGGTTCTGGAATTCTCAGATTATGATTCTCAAACTCTACTCCAAATGGAACATTGAAGAAATACTTTGCTTTTATTTCAGAATGTTTTGTGAATACTCCCTATATTCATGCTCACTTTCCCCATTGTTATCACACCCACAAACAGAGAATGGGTAAGTCTGTTTGTATGACTGACATAGCTCAAAGTCTCTGCTTCAGAGGAGATCTACAAACAAGGCTATGGGTTCTTTGCTTTTTTCCTACATGGCTGTTGGCACTTCTGTATGGATGTGTGAATGTGCCAGTTTATATTACCCTGAGATCATGGAAAGCTTTTGCTGTATTGCATCAGTAATGCCTGAGATTAGAAAAGGGATGGGTGTTTCAGGATTCCTCACAAAACACCCCTCAAATATAAAACTAGCATATCAGAAAAAGGGTTCAACTGAATTCATATACCTAACATACTGCATTTCTCTGGGCAAAGACATAATGTATGAGATAATGTTAAAACATAACAATCCTCCACTTGAATTTGGAAGCTCAGTTTCCAAAAAGCTCTTGCCTTATTAATTGTTTTCCACTGGCCCTGAGTCCTTATCTCCACTGGGTGCTTTAAACAAACTTCTGTTTCAGTTTAGTAGAGTAGGTTGGTAAATTTATTGCAGATGATTCGCAAGAGGCACTGGATTATCAGGACAGGATTAGGATATTTTGCATATCATACTGTCCTGGAGCAGTTACAAACCTTATCTTGACTTCAGTAATATAG